ACGTGGTCTGTGGCCTCCATGCAACAAGAGATGACTGTGGTCATGCAGGAACTGGCTGAGGTCTCCCAGGGAAGGAAACCATTATGGTGGGACTTCAACGAGGACCATAAGTGCTACCAGTGTGGACACTATGGGCATCGACAGAAGCTGTAGCTAAGAAGAAAACACGGGTGCTCTCGCAAGCAGTTAAACTAAAAGTTCCCGGGCAGAAGTCCTGTAGTCACTGCAATGATAAATGGAGAACAGGTTCCACGTCTATTGAACATGGGATCCAAAGTCACTATTACATAATATGACTTTTAACTAAAACAGTTTGGGGCCCAGAACTGGCTAGATCCTACATGGCTATCCCTGAAAGCAGCCAATAACCAACCCATCATGGTGGAAGGTGGACCTGGATGTCAGTGCAAGTGTTTGGTCAGACAGTGGAGCAGGTGGGAATAGTGTTGTAAAGTTAACCTGCTAATTTGAGTAATATGTGCCTTATGTAAAGTTTTATGATGTCGAGGGCTGCTTCTTTTAAGGGGGAGGAGTGTTGGCAGGTATAGTTCCTACTCTACCCAGCAAGGTGGTGCCATGCCGCCTACTACAGCTCCTAGTTAACTCTAAACTGATGAGCTGTAAATGCTTTTAAAGCAACCCTTATGGTGATTTTTGGGCACCTTATTTTTTGACGATATCGTGGGAGTATGCAATTTTAAGACATGGAATGTTTGGTGCCTATTTACTTGATGCAACCTCATCTTTTATATTATAACAAAAATTGGTATTCTATTGTGTGTTTTAGCACTAAAATTAATTTTATTATATTTTTTCTTGAAACTTTACATTTAATAAACAGTTGCAGACATAAAGTGTGACATAAAAATGTGAAAATATATATTTTTTATATTCTATAGGGCCTCTGCTTTCAGAAAATATATAATGTTCTGGGATTTTAAATAATTTATTGCCAAAAATTTAGATTTTTACAAGTAGTATGTGAAAAATGAAAAAAAACATGCTCTGGAGCTGAACTGGTTAAATCTGCTGTGCTCAGGCAGTGTTAGAGTACTCACTTAAGTGGGTGACTTTATTTTAGAGGTGTCTGCGCACAGGCAGCATTAAAAGCCCTGTCGCACTCACCTCTCACGTAACCTAAGACTTCTGGAGCCCCGCCCACCAGCCAATGAGGAGTGACGTTGTGTTTGCAAACATCACCCCTTGCATCCACCCCACGAGGATCTCAATTTGGGAATGCCTGCTGTGTAGCTGACGGATGGACATATGGATGGATGTGAGTGGGGCCTCATGTCTAGGTTTTGCGCAAAGCCTAGAGCTGCCTCTGTTTAAATGTTTTCAAAAGTGGTGTCAAATTGAACAGTGTTTAATCCTGAATGCACCTAGTAATACACATCCTCAAATACTTTTTTTTTTAAATCAGATAATTTTTATTAGAAAACCAACAAGTTTCCATTTTCAGATTAACAGTTCTTATATAAAAAACATGTATAAAAGTAAAAACAATCAAACACAAAAAAATCACAGAAAAAGAACATATAAGAACAATAGCTAAAACCACGTCTACAGATAAAACACATACAAGGTTGTCACGTAGGACTGTGCCATCAGAGTATATAATATGCTAACTATGTGTATTTACCTGCGCAATCATGTCACGTAGTGATATTAATATTGTTGAACCATATAGACAAACAAAAAAAAAAAAAAAAAAAAAAAAAACACTTGACTTGCTGTCTGCTCAAATACTTAAGCTCCAAGACAACTGTTATATGAACCCATGTCCCTTCAACTCAATCTGCAAAGGGTCTATAAGAAGGCCAACTTACCTCAGTTGATAAGTAGACCTGAGTACCACCCAAAATCGTCAATCAAAGATATTGCAGGTATTACAGGGAGTACTGAGTACCTGACAGAAACAGCAACGTATTGGCATACATGGCTTCGTTATCCTCTTTCACATCCATTATAAAACCTATAATATGAATCAACTGTCAAATCAACTAATCTAATAGCTCTGTCACCAGACAGAATACTATAAGCAAAGACAGCATCCCTGCCATATGCCCCGCTGAATATACAATAACCTTACCCACCTACAATACTTAGGCCCAAAACCAAATCTACCAAGAAGTATCCAAAATCAATCCTGTCAATTCTATTGAATGCTTTTGCTGCATGAGGCAACCGTATGTCTCTTACCCACCATTTCCACATGGACCTATAGATATAGTAAAAACCTTTGAATACTAAGTGCAATACGTAGATTTATCCGGCATGAAGCCTGTCTGATCTGCATGGGCAAAAGCTGTAACTAGTGCAATCAGCCTAGTGCTTACAAGTTTAGGAGTATATTGGACATTAAGAATCAGTAAATAAAGGATCCTTATATTTTTTAGGCATGACTATAATAATAGCCCCCTTCATGGATGGAGGAAGCACACCTACGTATATTTTCCATATCGTTTATATATCTCAATGGACAGGCCAGCTGTACCAGATGCTTTATTGAGAAACTAGCCACTGCAGCTTGAGAAACTAGCCACTGCAGCTTTCAGCTCTTTCAGCATCAGAAGAAAGTCCAGCAGCACTCTTTGTCCCTGAGACAGAATAGAGAGCATCACTGCCTGTAAGCCCCAGTTCACACCAAATGTGACATTGAAATTGTGCTACTTCACTTGAAGTAGCGCACTTTCAAAGCTGGGAACCCGGTGCAATTTCATATGCCACTTGGCACACATCTGTGCGATTTCATGCATAGATGTCAATGCAAGTCGCACCTGAAATCACTGAATATAGTGCAGGAACTATTTTCAAAATTGGTGCAACTCTGAAGGAGTTTGAGTTGCACTGATTTGAACAGTTCCATTGCAGGCAATAGGATGCGACCTGTGATGTGATTTGGAACTGTCAAATCACATGACAAGTCACACCGTTGTGAATTGGGGCTAAATAAGATTCAAATTCAGACATAAATAAGACATCTTTTTTAGCAGATAGAGTGTCATAAAATTCCTGGAATATTGGTAATATATCCACAGGGTCATCAGCCACTTAACCATTCTGATCTATTAAGGCTCTTATATACATTCTCTCTTGTTGTGATCTTGCTCTTTGGGCCAGGAAAGGTCCAGTGTTCTCTCTTGCTCGCCAGTATTGATGGTTCAGAAACAAAATAGCTTAATATGTATATTTCGTGGAATCAAACTCTCCGAGTATTTTTAGTCAAACATTCTTAATAATAATATTAAACAGAAAATTCTAACTAAAATACCATGCCATCATATCCAGTAATCCTTATCATTTAGCTTTTCTTAACTAATGAGCACAATACTAATCACAATTTTGCATTCTTTCATCAAGGACTTCCTTTGCAGATCTCACATTCACTTGCATATCATCTCAGAGCAGCAGAAAAAGTCGATGCTGAAAGATTGATGGACTGAACAGAGAACAGATGGCAATATAACAGCCAGCAGTCTCACTGACTGTGGGTCCAAATGGGGAGTATCACCACTCAGAGTCACCAACCCAACATATCCTTTTTGTACTGGCTTGGGGACAAATGCCCCCCATCACTGGAAGGTGCAGTATATCTTCTTTTTTTAACCCTGATAAGATCCAATGATCATGGATGTGGCTGTATAATAATCAGTTATGAAAGAGGGAACGGAAAAAAAAACAGATGTGTTCTGGTTGGGAAGAAAGGCAGCTGGTATTACTTCCCACAATACGTGTACAATCTTGTTAGACTGAAGAGAAAGGGATTTCCCAGAACAATGCACAATTAAAAAAAATCACATGGGGAAATTATCCCATATAAATACGCTGCAAAAATGTTAACCTTTAATTAAAGTGCATTAGCATTAAAAGGTGTCTGCAAAGAATCCTGTAGTCTTTTTAAAAATTTACCTCTCACAGACCTAGGGTAACTGTACAGACAAAGCATTTCATTACATTTGCACAAAAATTAAGTAAGAAAAACTTTATAAAGTTAAACTTTACAGAGAGATTCCCCATCCTCAGATGAACTCCAACTAACTAATCAGCTCCAGACTAGAAATAAAAAAACTGAAGCTCTTCCACATACAGCACATTATCCTTTATGACTAAACCTTTTCATTTAAATTAGTATAGATGGCTTTTCAAATTTTTACTCCGTTACAATAGATCTGATTGCTGTAATCAGTAAGATTTGTAATGGCCTAAGCAGTTGGGTGAAAGTTGGAATTCTGGTAGGTATATCTCGCCACAGGAAATCCTTTAGATAAAAAAAATTGGCATGTGATTAAAATTGTGAGAAACCACTAAAACTGAAATGTCTAAAATGAAAGAGTTTGCATTTAATGTCATTATACCAGTTCTATGTTATCCTCATCTTGTAATCCCCAAACAAAGAAAGGAATAATCTGCAAAGTCTGTACATGAATGGTAAAGATGCTTTCTTTTAACTATGGGCTGATAATTCTTTAAACCTCAGCCTCACTACTTATATTTAAGCTGGAAATTGGAAAAATCTAACTCTTGAATACCTTGTAAATTGTTAAAGCAGAACTCCAGCAAAAATAGCAGGATAAAACAACTACACTCTTTTACTGCATATTCACCTTTAGTACAGAGATTTCACTGCTGTATTATTTTCTAACAATAGACGTCTTCAGTGTGATGACCAACATCATTCAATCAATCGACTTCTTCTGAGCCTAAGTCATCCTGGATCGGCCCTAGCCCATGACTGGACAGTGAAAGGAGAAGTAGTAATGAGCCCAACTCTCTGTCACTCCATATACTGCTTCTTTCTGTCACAATCCAACTCTGTTATACAAGGCTTGTGAGATGCCAAGTCAAGTGTATGTAATTACACTGCTTTCATTAAAAAAAAATACACTTAAGGGTGTAATAATTAATATAGAGCTGCATTAACTGTTTCCCCACTGCTCTATAGCAGAATTACTGCTACAGTAGTGGCAGGGCTGCACAAAATCACATAAATATACTTGAGTTTGTATTTCTGGGTAGAGGGCGTGCCGCCATTGGCGGCTACAGCTGTTGATCACTGGGTCCCAGCTGGAGATTCCCCGCTGGCCACCGGTGATTGCCGAGAAATAGAGAAAGAGGAGAGGTCTGTGTGTAAACAACACAGATCTCTCCTCTGGCATGAACAGGCTGCTTTGTATTGGTCTGCACAGCAGAGCAATACAAAGCAGCTTGCTCCCTATTAAAACACACACAGCACATACACTAAAACAGCACACAGTTAACCCTTTGATCGCCCCAGATGTTAACCCCTTCCTGTCCAGTGCCATTAGTACAGTATCAGTGCTTTTTATTAGCACTGATCACTGTATTAGTGTCATTGGGATGTCAGTGTCAGTTAGTCAGTTCTCCCAAGTGTCAGACTGCCTGCCGCAGTCCTGATGTCCCGCCATAAGTTGCTGATCACCGCCATTACTAGTATAAAGAAAAAAAATCCAGTATATATTCCGCCATTTGTTGACTCTATAACTTTCACATAAACCAATTAATTTACACGTATTGGATTTTTTGTTTTAGCAAAGACATGTAGCAGAATACATTTTGGCCTAACTTTTTGACAAAATCAGATTTTTAATTTTTTTACTGGATATGTTTTATAGTAAAAAGTCAAAAATAATGTTGGGTTTTTTTTCAAAATTGGCTGTCTTTTTTGTTTATAGCAAAAAAAAATTAAAAATGCAGAGGCGATCAAATACCACCAAAAGAAAGCTCTATTTGTGGGGGAAAAAAAGAACATAAATTGCATTTGGGTGCAGCGTTGCATGACCGTGCAATTGTCAGTTAAAGTAATGCAATTCCATATCGCAAAAAATAGCTTTGTCAGGAAGGGGGGTAAATCCTCCGGAGGGCAAGTGGTTAATGTATTTCTATCTACCTAAAGACCTTGATTATCTAAAGTGCACTGCATGTTTATCTGGCACTGTGCATGTCTGTTAACCCCCTTCCATTCCTCCCTATTTTTTTCGGTACCTGCCTGCATTCTCTAGTAAACCCCTAGGAGCTTGTGCCTGACATTAGCACAACGCAGCTAGAATTTTTTTCATGCTAATATATTAAATAAGGCATGATTTTAACAGACATATCACTTAATATTGCAAAAACAAAAAAAAATATTTGCTGCTGTTAAAGAAAATTTCAAGCCAAGCTTTTAAACGGAGCCAGAGAGCTCACATTATTTATTTCAAATGAAACTGAGTTAAATGAGGCTGCAACTGCTGACCTCCTCTACATCCAGACCCCAGTTTAACACTAACCCCTAATACCTACCCTGTCAATCCAACCCCTACTCTATAGCTGGGTACACACAAAACGAAATTCCAGCTGAACCATCTGAATTTCAATCTGCGTGTGTTTCAGTCAGTGGCAGACTGACAACTCATGGGGCCCCCGGGCAATAGGGGATCATGGGGCAACTGTGTCCTTGCCCAAACTCAAAAAAGCCTATGAAAAAGGTACTAGGGGCATCTCATAGGGCCCCCTACTGACCCCGGGCCCTCGGGCAGTGCCCGAGTTTCCAAATTGTCAGTCCGCCGCCTGGTTTCGGTCCTCCCTTTTTGACGGAAGCAGATGCAACCTGCTGTCAAAATACAACAGCACAGCAGGGAGGATTCCTCCATCCACCTTGCTTACGTGGATGCAGGAATCTGCTGGGTGAGCAAAACAAAAAAATGTATAGTTCTTACCCAGCTTTACTGTTATGAGGCTTATCCTCAGCCTTCACCCTTTAAGCCTTTAAGTCTGAATATTGACAGCAAAAGCCTAGTCGCACTATTAAAAAATTGGATGAACATATCCATATTCAGAACAATAGCTCGATTTTATGTTCGTTAGTACTTTACTTTTCAGAGCTGATATGGACTGTTCAGACAAAGATTTCCGAAGGGACATGTAGGAAAATGTTTCTTGTTGGTCATCATAACTTCCAATGTTTGTTTAATTACAGTATTCATCCTATGAAAATCGAATGAGCAAGTCTGTGCCTGATCACAAACAAAGTACACCATAGACTAGACATAGATCATAAATAGGTACGTGGGAATTTGTTCTTTGTTGAATTTTTGTACCATTTTAGGCAATCTTGATTTCAACATGGGGAGAGGACAGAGAACAATGCGAACGATTGTTTGTCCCATTTTTTAAAGGTGTGTACTAGGCTTAAACATCACTCTTAATTCCTAGACATAAACATATATTAGCCATAATCCTAATACAGATATTGCTTCTGTACATCAAATGTCTTGAGCCAAATTAATGAAAAAAATAAATAGCAACACTCGTTTTATATATAACTAAATGAACGTTCTGTAGGGAAATGTTATCTATGTGATATAAAGCCCAGATAAACTTAGCATGTGACTGGGCAATAGCAGAAAAAGTCACAATCCGTAACTATTTCACCTGCAGGGAAGAAGCTAAACCAAGATATTTGTAGACATTCTCTGCAATAACTTAGTTAAAACAAATAATAAAACAAATTATAAAGATCTGGGAAAACAATGTGGTGAATATTAGCTTACATTTTTTGCACAGACTTGCCATTGCATTTGGTGACTACATAGGGAGTAGCAGGCCCGGACTGTCCATAGGGCACACAAGGAATTTGCTTGGTGGGACGGGGCGGCCGGGCCACATGTACTTAATGTGGGGCAAAATGCAAAGCAGATGCGGCAGCTGAGCTGCCCCTTTTCTTGAGCCCGTGCTGCTCCTCGGTCTCTCCACTGCTGCTCAGCTCAGTCAGTTCTCCTCATGTATGGCCGTCAGAGCAGGGAGTGGGAGCTATCGGTCAGAAGACCCATGGGCCACCCATGACTGTGCAGGGGGAGAAACTGGAGGAGACCCCATCGCCTGATGCCAGATAGGTGTCACTGCTACCGCCACAGACACCAGAGGGAGCTGGCCCGGACTGAAGAAAAAGTGAGTGAGTGCCAGTCTTCCACTGCCAGTGAACACTTATTGTTAGAACAAATTATAAGACAATTTGTATAGACTTTCTTAACTGGGCTGTCTCTTTGCTGGATTGGGCTGTCTCTTTGCTGGATTGGGCTGTCTCTTTGCTGGACTGGGCTGTCTCTGCTGGACTGGGATGTCTCCTTGATGGATGGGGATATCCCTTTGCTTGATTGGGCTGTCTCTTTGCTGGACTGGGCTCTCTCTTTGCAGGATTGGGATGTCTCCTTGCTGGATTAGGATTCCTCCTTGCTGGATGGGGATTTTTCTTTGATGGATTGGGCTGTCTGTTTGCTTGACTGAGCTGTCTCTTTGCTGGACTGGAATGTCTCTTTGCTGGATAGGGATGTCTCTTTGATGGACTGTGCTGTCTCCTTGAGGGATTGGGCTTGTCTCTTTGCTGGATTAGGCTTGCTTCTTTGCTGGATGGGGCTATCTCTTTGCTGGATGGGGCTGTCTCTTTGCTGGACTGTGCAGCCTCTTTGCTATATGGGGATGTCTCTTTGCTGGATTGTGATGTTTCTTTGCTGGATGGGGGTGTCTGTTTGCTGGACTGGTCAGTCTTTTTGCTATATGGAGATGTCTCTTTGCTGGATTGTGATGTCTCTTTGCTGGATGGGGATGTCTCTTTGATGTATTGGGTTGTCTCTTTGCTGGACTGGGCTGTCTCTTTTCTGAATTGGGCTTGTCTCTTTTCTGGATTGGGCTTGTCTCTTTGCTGGATGGGGCTGTCTCTTTGCTGGATGGGGCTGTCTCTTTGCTGGACGGGGCTGTATCTTTGCTGGACTGGGCAGTCTCTTTTCTGGATTGTGATGTCTCTTTGCTGGATAGGGATATCTATTTGCTGGTTGGGGATGTCTATTTGCTGGATGGGGATGTCTCTTTGCTATATAGGGGTGTCTCTTTGCTGGATTGGGCCATCTCTTTGTTGAATATATAAGAGGCACTGGGATTAGAGAGAAAGGGGGGGGGGCATGACTGTAAGTGGCACTGTGACGAGGGGCTGTGATTGCTAGGGACACTGTAATGTAAAGGGGCACTGTGATGTAAAGTGGCACTGTAATCAATAGTCATCTTTATATCACAGCGCTCCTTTACATTACAGTGCAGAGGATTGATTCCATACATTTTTTGTTACAAATTGCCCCCACAAACGCCATGAACAACAGTAAAGACAATAAATAGCTATACATAAACCAATTATTGGACATACAGTACATGTTTAATATATTAACCTATCTAGATCTACTTTATTGATAACTGTACAACAGCGTCAGGGGTGGACTGACAACTCATGGGGCCCCCGAGCAATAGTGGATCATGGGGCCCCTGTGTCCTTGCCCAAACTCAAAAAAGCCTATGAAAAAGGTACCAGGGGCATCTCATGGGGCCCCCTACTGACCCCGGGCCCTCGGGCAGTGCCCGAGTTTCCAAATGGTCAGTCCGCCCCTGAACAGCATATATCCAACTCCATTTCATATACACAAATATCCACTGCTAGATTTTAGAAAGTATGTATGAAGGCTGCATTGATGTAACTTTTTACAAACAGTTCTATTGGTTCAGGACCAAATATTAGTGGTGGTCTTAGGGGTCCTTGGTTGAAGTTTCAGGAAAAACGGGATCTTCATGGAGTCTGCACATTGTGCCTGTGTGGGTTTACTTCAACACTCCAAAGACATACTTTTAGGTTATTTGGCTGCTGCAATATTTTTAAAATTTCCTGTATGATATTCTACTGAGAGTGTCCAAGATGGCGGCCCCAACAGCAGATCGAATCCCCAGGAACAAAAGTGCTGTATAAATTAGTTAACATTAATGTTATGCAAAAATACAAAACCTGGATTGCCAAATATGTTGCAAATTAATATACCTGCAGCTGATATGCCACTAAACTTCAAACATTAAGACCAATAGAAAACTACAATGGTTCATCAAGAAACCACTGAATTGGTGATACGTAAAAGCAGAAACTTTATTCCATAAGACAGTTTATTATGAACACATCAGACAGTCCAGTTAGTTTTGTGCAATAATTTTACTAATGGTCCGTGACAAAGTACCACAAATTGTTCCTTATTAATGACTGAAAAACAACCAGCACCTCCATTAGGAACACCATAAAAAAGTCTAACTTCTATTACTATATGTTGTTATCTTGGGCTCTTGGGCTGTCTTGCTTATCATGATGACCTAGTGAGTCATCTTATGAGTCAATGACCTGGAACAAGCTTGCAGCTACTGAAGTCTGAACAACTATTTTGCATTTGTTTTACAGGTCAGTAAGTAACCGCAATGCAGATTTCTTTGCACATTTACGGTAAAAAAATCATTATTATATGTACAAAAGTCCCATTAAACCTCAGGGTATGAAGCACAGTTATCAAAAAAAATG